TGTGTGTGTGTGTGTGTGTGTGAGTCCTCCCAAAAAACATGGGAGACCACCCAATCAAGAGGGAAGTGCCAATAAACCACCAGTTAGCGGTTTAAGTGTTGCGAAGCTGCTCTTTTCATGTGGTGCATGCATTTCAAAACTGCAGCTTTATGTCCTGCGAACTCTGAACTGTTTGACTGGCAGCGGCTTTAATGTGGCGTACAGCCTGTTCAACGACCAGCTCTTCCTTCATCATTATCAATGCCTGCTGTAAACCCACTTCCACTATGGTTCGCACAAGGACACAGTCCAGCAGGGTTCCTCTGGAGGGGGTACAGACAGTATTCTTTGGCTCTATGTTCATCCTCATTTTGTTTTTTAGGGCCAATACAATAACCGTCTATTATGATATGGACAGTTTGCCTTGATAAATGCACCGTTCAGCTGGGTTTTCTTGGACATTAAGCAAAACCATAAGGCTCATCTCTTTTCTTTAACAGCATTTGTGATATTGTTCTGAAAATTGAGAAGAAGTCAGAAAAGCTACTATCCGCTGCTTAAGGGTGTTTCTCTGAGGGACAGGCAGAGAAACACTCTGGTCCTATCACTAGTCCCTCACAGGACTCCTACAATATGTTGTTTATTTGCCGCTAAAATCTAGAGGTCAGTCCAGAGTATTTCATCAAGTGCACTGATTTTAACACTGAAGTGCCAATGAAAGAGAGCCTGCGTTTACATCTACACTTTTAAACCTATGCGTATGTGAAGAAATACTCTGAACTGACCTCTCGATCTAAACTGCACATAATCTACATACTGTAGGATTCCTGTGAGGGACTACTGATCGGTGTTTCTCTGCCTTCACTAAGTGCATGTTGGGAAGGTTGTCAGCTCTCACTTCGAGTAAGAATAGGAGGCACATATGTCAAGGATGAAACAGAGCCAAAGTGAAACCAGATCTTTTTAGTCCTGTTGAGTAAAAAGTTACGAATCAAAATCTAACTGGCATTTGTAGCTGCTCTAATAACTAAAGTATAGCCCTAGAACAGAGCCGTTGTGAACAGTCACTCACTTCATATGTTCAGATAAGGAAAGTTGATTCTTTTTGAAAAACGATTTATTCCAATTTATGTTTTTAGTGGAATATAACAAATGCTGTTTCTCTCAAGAACTTAACTTTCATGGCCTAAAGGTCACAGCTTAACAGAAGATTGCGTGAGACAGTCGAGGGGAGGCATCAGTTCATGTCTGAGACATCTGAACATAGCAGAAGTTTTTAGAGAGCACAAATTACAAATATTTACAGTTATGACTGTAATGGACGATGTGGAGGCGTGAAGCCTATGGTGTGCTGCCAACTATTTTTATGTGTTAGTGTAATGGAACAGCTCATTCTGAATAACATAGTGTAAAGGTGCATCATACCCTGTTCTCCAGCTCAGAGGGGAACTTGGTTTGGAACTGGCACACGGTGCCGCTCGTGTAATCTCTCTGGATGAAGACTTTGGCAGCGATGGCTGCCTGTTGCCTCATGTCCTGCAGGCTGTGGGTCTGTGGAAATGACAGATTACAACTTAAATCATCTCTACAACTTATTTGTGTGAGAACTGAACAAAAAATCATTTTAGCAGTAGCAAGGGTAAATGTGTTAGAAACTATGTCATCTTCAAATTACACATTTATTCATCAGACTTACTGGCAGGAAAACATTTAGAAATGTTGCAGTTGGAAAATGGCAGGTTTAAGGCTGCAAATGTGTTTGTTGATCTGACAATGATTTTATAGATTTATAGATTAATGATTTGGTCCATATAGAATCATAACATACTAAATATCCATCACAATATGTTACAGAGCCTATGACAATGTACTCGAATGCATTGTTTTCCTTGACCGAAGTCCAAAATCCCAACATATTTATTATGCTTTTTATTACACGTTTATTTTGCAATAATAAAAGTCTAAGAAAAGAAGCAAATTCTCACACTAGAGAGCAGCGAATCCGATCGTGTTTGGTCTTTTGTATTGAATTTCACTTTAATTAGCAAGCAATTATCAAACCATTTGAATCTTCTGTCAACAGATCAATAAAAGAAAAGTCTCTGCAGCTCTACACAGGTGTGAGAGATACAATGAATGACGTCTGAATGACGTCTGAATGAGCTACTTCATCTTCAGGGTCCTGACTGTCACAGGCCACTGGACCATAACATGATCAATAAAATATACATGCAGGCCTGCTGGAAACCTGGTGATGTTTACATCTGACTAATAGGACTTTTTATTTCATTGATGGATTGACTCGTCCCTTCAGCTCCACACCATCTCATCCACTTACTGGCCTGAATGACCCTGTTTCCTCATATGTATGTGTGATGTCTGATTACATCTGCTGCTGTTAAAGCACACGTAGTGTTATTCCTTCCTGCCCTGGAGCCAGTGTGTTGGTCTCACGGTTCAGTCGTGTAGAAACACACGGGATGACCTGTCAGCATCTGCTCACAGCTCGACTGATGGTTCAAATATTAAACGCGCTGTCGCCATTGGCACTCATAGGAGTCGTTGAGTAAATACTCCAGCTTGATAGTCAACATTATAACAGGGGAGTTAGCGAACGACTAGCTACCAGGCTAACGCTGGTTCACGTCTGTTTCTCTCAAACACTGTCCCAGAAAATGTGAAATAAAACCGTGACAACATGAATAAACGTTTCACAAACAACTTACATATCAACAAAAAAAGTTCAAAATCTTCCTTTGCTTACCTCTGCCATGGTGAACAGTGTTTCTGTTTATCTTCCGCTAGCAGCTTCAAGCGTGTACTTCTCAATATCTGTTCCGGGGGGGGAACTTTTGTTGAACAGCAAAGGTTCCGGGTCCATAAGACTTTGTATGACAATAAATTAGAAATATGTTTTGTATTTGCAGATTAAGTTTATAAATTATATTCAAAAATATAAACTGTAAGTTTTTTAAAATAATGTACATATTTAACATATAGTATATAATATATAATATATATGAATTAATCCATTGCAGTCAGCCACATCCTAAAATTCTCCATTATATATATGAAATGAGGAGTGGGTTATTTTATACTTAATAAAATGCAGTATTTTAATTCATAATGGAGTATAGTAAAGTTAAGTAAACTCTCTGAATACTTCCTCCACTAATGTGCCACATCGAACTTTATAAATCAGTCTATTCGTGCAACTGCATCTTGATATAGGACAAAGAGGTTTTAAAGGCAAACCTTTAAATTAGACATAATGACTGTAATGGACAATATATCAAACAGTTGTAACAAGTTTCATGGTTTTACAAATTGACCCATTAAAGGCACTGAAAAAACAAATTAACACTAGAGGACAAAAATACACAATTAAAACCAGAAAGTACTAAAGCATCATTTAGCAGTTAAATGTGCACAAACACTTCAAATTAGTATGTGTGTTACTTGATTTTATAATAAAACGTGACCATTTCATGTGACTCAGATATTTGTTTGGTTAAAAATGTAGCCAGGGGACAACACAGAACTCAGTTTGGGTTTTGGTTTCCACAACAGCATTACACATCACTACCAGAGAGACGGGGAGAGAGGCAGATGCTCCTGGACTTGGACCATCAAAGAGCCACAGTTGTGCCAGCAGATACATTTACAAATCTGAGTAAGAGTCCATCGCTACAGCAGACTCCAGGCCTGGAAACAAACAGCACACAACAAAATATTATATTACTTCAACATTTGGAAAATGTTGCAGCCATTCAGATAGTTTTGTTGTTTGAGACTCAAGCAGCTACTTAACCCCTGTAGAAACATGATGTGTTGTATAATAAGCTCGACTCGCAGCAGTAAAAGAATCCTCCCCACTTGTCTCGAAGAGCATGAGAGCGACAGAACAACTTTGGCAAAGTCAGGACAGATTTTCACAGCCTCGCAGGAGCTGCTTTTCACTTTGGAGATCTGAGTAACTTGCCCGTGAGGAATGCATTTTTCACAGTCATCCCGTGCATCACGAGGCCTGGGCCTGGAGTAATTAGTGGATCTGTATGAATGTTAAAAGAAAAAAAAACAGCTATTGCTCCTGCACTGGGCTTGTTTGCCTCCTGGCAAAGGGGGGTGGGCCTTTAAAGCCCCTGTCCTCTGTGATGGCCGGCGTGGGAGAGACCGCTAATGAGCACCATTTGGAGCCCTCATTTACAACACATGCTGGTTAATAGCCCACGACAATAGTTTTACTGCTGCCCGGGCCACTCTTCCTGAAGTGGCTCTCTAATGGAAACACAATACAACCTCTCTAGATGACCAGCTCAGCCACAGTCTGCTAATTACAGAGAGAAGCTGCAGCTGGATCATTCAGCTCAGTAAATGTCACTCTCAGAGGGACTATATGGCCTTTTGTGAAAATCATGTCAGTCACTGAGAGCAGGTAAAGCATGCTACACTGCACACTGCAAACAAAAGGGAGAACACTGAAGCCAGGTGTTTGAGTTCCACCGGGGTAGTGCAGAAAGACTCAACCTGATATCCTGAAGTGAAATAAGATTGGGAACCAAACATTGGGGGTAAAGGTTAACCTGAGTCTGTGAGGGGGAAATCTGCTCAATTAAATCTTTATGTTTCTCAATTAATTTTTTATTTTCATGACTTTGCCTGCAGCGTCTTAAGCGTAACCATAATTACCCACATCTCAACTCATGCATTGAGCATTTATTGCCAAAGATGGAGACAAATTAAAAGGAGCATCTCACACCAAAGAGTAGATGAAGCACTGAAGGTGAAAAAAAAGAAACAAGGGGACTTTCTCATCACCACTTTGAAAAAAAGCACCCCATGCCCAGACTCTGGACATTATCCAAATATCAGTGGTAATATGTGCAAGTGTTTAAGTACAGCTTTGAATTACTTCTATTTTATATGTAAGTATTTTGTTTTATGGAGCGTTATGTGTCTCCTCCCCTACAGTTATACTGAGATCTAAATTTTACACAAAAAGTATATGATCCGTTTGCAAATTATTACGTAATGCTGTGGGACGAACTGACAAACAGTCTATAAAGTCATTAAAACTGGCTGCATGTCACCAAGCTACAACATTAAAATTCTTCTTACATGCTAACATATACTTTTGAAGAATACTTTTTTACATGAAATATTTTAATATATATATTAAATATATTTCCAAATATAAAATAATAACAAATAGTGTCAGAGTTGGTTGCAGAAAATTAATAATTATTTAGGAAATAAAATCCTTTTGTTTCTTTTTTCCTCTTAATTTTTCTTTCTTCCTCTTTCTTTTTTCCACACGCTTGAGGACTGGCCAAATGGATTGGCATGACATGAAAAATATATATGGACAGACTATGTGCACTTACCAAATGTGAAGCAAAATGTTCACATGATAAGATTACATGCAAAGTCAATGCAATTTTTGGTCAAAGCTGAACTCCAAGCCATGCAGCATTTACTTCTCCACAGGAAGTATTCCCCTTGCTTGTACAAATCGGAGGTGAATCGGAGTCAAAAGTTTGCCACTGATACATTGTACGTAGGGACGGGCCTACATATGTACTAATGCAAGTACCATGAGTGAACACATACAAATGTGAAGCCAAAGTTAAACTCCAAACTAAGCAACGCTGCAGATTTACTTTGCAACCGAAAGCAAAAGTTTTATTGACTCTTTGCTCACACAGACTGGACTGTAAATGGGAGGCGAGGGTTGCTACATTCATGAACTTGAACGTGATCGTGCCAAAACCCTGTGGTCAGAAATTCTCAACATGTCAAGATTGAAGGTTAAGGTCTTGTGTGGAGAAACGTTCCTCTTGAGATGAATGTGAAACAGCAAACTAGTTTCTTTAATTAATCTGCAGAGAGACTCAAAATAAAATTCAAACACAAGGGATGCCAGAATAAGCACAGGATTTTGTGTGAAGTAACAATAAGCAATATGAGTGTTATAATGGAGACCCTTCCTCGTGCTGTGCCAGGCATTTCTTCTTCCACCACTATAGCTCGCCTTATTACCTTAAAGGGTATAAGCATTTGCTGGTCTCCCTATTCCCACTTGGACTTTTTGAACCGATCCAGATCACACTGAGGCCTTTCATGCCTTGGCTGGCGATCCACACATACAGGAGTCCATCCAGACACAAGCTGGTTCCTTTTAAACTGAGATTTACAGTCATTTGACTAACAACTAAGGAGCTACAACTGGAAAGAATTACCATATTCACGACCTCGACTGAATGTTAAATGGAAGTTAAGGCGTTTTTTTTTTTGTGTGCTGCTGTTTTGAAATCCTTATATCATGTTCTCTCTGACCCCAAAACTCAAACTGCTTCCCTGTGAACACACACTGAAAGCCAAGAAGAAACAGCAGCAGCAGCAGAATCGTGCTGCTGCTGTTTCTGACAGAAGCCAGCGTGCACATTTGTTTCAACGTGTTTTATGCATCAACGTTATAAAAATGTTATCAAGATATGTGTGACTTCTATTGACCTCTGTTGGCAGCCTATGGAAACTGCAGCAGTTTGAACAGATCTGACACAAGATGGCAAGAAACAAAAAATAAAGACACGTTTTCGGAGTGAAGATGAACAAGGAAGATTTTTAAAATGATGAATGAGTGCATCATAAAGGACAAAAAATACTCAATCCTTTATAAATATTACAATTGTTAGGATACAGGAAAACAATTTTAAATGTGAAGTAAAACAAATAACAAACCAAATATTGCAATTATAGATAAGGACAATATAGAAAGTGCAGAGATAAATATATAGTTTAATGCATTAAAAGTAATAAATCAGGGCATTAATACATAAGGTCTTCAATTTATTTTTGCATTATTTGGACATTATTATAGCTCATTTATCTTGTAATTCCTGCAGCTTTAGATTGAGTGTAATAAACAAATGAACTGGAGGAAATAGAAGTTGAGAAACAAATAAAAAGAATTAAAAAGGAAGAAACTAACACACATTTATTGAAACATAAAAATTATTTCAAGACATGTATTCAACTGCCAATTAATTTCGAACATGAATTGCTTTTATTTATTTATGTCAATTTTTATTTCAGTAGTTATGTTTTTATTTAATCTTTTCTCCTTTTTTATTTCTCTGCCATTTTTCGTCCTTCATCCTCGACTCGTGAGCAATTGAAAATGTCAGTAAGTGGAGGAGTGTGTTGAAATCCACTAAGTGTTGATGTTCTTCTTCCAAATCACACTGGTAAATCAAAGACAGAAAACTCAGCACCTGCCCACATAACGATAACGCCATTGGCATTAACCACCACAGATGACAGCCAAATTAACACATTTAAACACATTATTGAAGCTTTTAACTTATAACTAAGATAATTCTTAAAACGTGAGCATAAATGAAAGAATTGAGAAATTTGCTGTACTTGATGCATGAATGCCTTAGTCACACATGGTTTATGTTTACCACTCAGGGACCCTCCTGCCACCCCACATTACCACTATAATGACTTGACGTTATTACCTCACCTCCATATGACTCACTTGCATAAGATGTGGTCCACGGCGTGCATTCAACAGCCCGTGGAAATTCAAACATCGCCCTCCTCAAGATGCCTGGAATGTATTTCAAGGGGGAATCTACACGCCTCTAAATGTTTATTAGCTGTTTAATATCCTGTTTAGGGTGTCTTTTATCAGTTTGATGCTGTGAAGTCCCTATGTTTAGTTATTGTTTTGTGTAGCATGGCATATTATGTGCTGATACATAAAACTTTTATGGTTAAATTAATATTGCGCACTTTGTTTCTGGTGTTGAAAGCTTTGTTTCATGGAGCAGAATATGACTCC